ACGGGGTGGCGAGTGGATGCTTTGGGTAGCAGGTAGATGTGGGAAGTGGATGAATGGGTGGGTGGGCAGGCGCACAGTGGGTGGGGCCTCAAAGATGGCATTCTGCCACTCACTCCCCCTGCCACTCACTCGCCTGCTGCCTCCTGCCTCTCCAGTCCCTACTGCTGTTCAGCCGGTCCCTGGATACCAATGGTGATTGCACCCGCCTGGTGGCCGACGGCTGGCTAGAGCTGCAGGTGGCGGACAGCGAGAGTGCTGTCCGGCTCCTGGGGACTTCCCTGCGGCTCCGGGCCCACTGGGAGAGCGCCCTGGACCGTCAGCTGGCTCGCCATGCCCAGGGCCGGCTGGAGGAGGAGGAAGAGGAGGACCCACCTGTCAGCCCTAAGGAGGTGGCATCCCTGAGCAGGGAGCTGCTCTGCTTCATGGCATCCAAGGTACCTGCCACCCGGGGTGCCCCAGCCTGCCCGTGCCAGAGGGGCGTCCTGCAGAGCTTTAGGCTCGAAGGCCCGGCTTCCAGTTTGCCCAGGGTGCACATTTGGGGGTTTGAAGTCAGAGGGCCCGGACTTGCCCAGGGCCACACAGCTGGTGAGGGCAGAGCCTGGGTCTGGCCCCGGGAGCCTGACAGCCCAGCCCTGCCCTGTGGCGCCTGCGCCGCTCGTCCAGCCGCCTTTATTCACGCCTGCGCAGTGTGTGGGTTACCTCGACGGTGGGGCCTTTCGGGAGAGGGATGTCGTAGGTGTCCGTTGTTAGGGACAGATGGGAACAGTGGGACAGAGCAGATTGGAAGCCACCCCCAGCCCTAAGTCGTGATTCTGCCACGTGTGGAGAGTCGAGGAGGGTGCAATCCAGGCTGACTCCCGGGCTTGAGGAAGAGGGGCAGGAACCGGCAAGCTGGGGAAGGGGGGCAAGGTTGGAGACCAGGCTCCAGGTGTGGACATGGAGAGCCAGGGAAGGCCCGTGATGACAGGGGGCTCTCAGGACATGTCTCAGGGAGCCTCTGAATACTCAGACTGTTCATGAGTGCCTTAAGCAATTGGCTCCCATGACAGAAAAGTCCAGGGTGGACTTCAGGCACAGCTGGGTCCAGGGGCTCTGGTGGCATCTCCCTGAACCAGTCTCCCTCTACCTCCTGCCTCTCCTTCCTTAGGTTCCCTACAGCCTCCGGAGGCTGACAGGGCTCGAAGCCCAGAACCTCTACGTGGGGCCCCAGACTGTCACGACTGCCCCCAGCCTCCCCGGCCTCTTTGGCAGCTCTGCCTTGACCCTCCACCCCACCAAGGGGGGCTATGCCGTCACGGACTTCCTCACCTACAACTGCCTCACGGTGAGCTCAGGCCCTGTCCTGGTCCCCCTCACCCTCCTGCCCTGGAGGGGACTTTAGGAAGCCCCTACCCCATCCTCCAGCCACGTTCCAACTTGGTTCAGGGATATGGATTCCAAATGGGGCCAGCAGCCCTGGGGGTTCTGGGAAGGGTCCGAGGCTGGCAGCAGGAGGTGGGTGCTGGGGGAGCGGGGCGGGCCGAGCCTCACAGCCTGCCGTCTGCAGAGCGACGCCGACCTGTACAGCGACTGCCTGCGCACCTTCTGGACCTGCCCCCACTGCGGCCTGCACATGCCCCTCACGCCCCTGGAGCGCATCGCCCACGAGAACACGTGCCCAGAGGCCCCGCGGGATGGCCCCACAGGCAAGGACGGGGCTGCGGGGCCTGGGCCACCAGGGGTGTCCACCCATGGGTGCTTCCTGTGTGGGGGCGCTCGTCAGACTGTGGGACTGACAGCCTCAGGCCTCTGGGCGTGGCCAGTGCCACACGTGGCCTAGTCACAGAGGCCTGGAGCCCTGGGCGGGAGGACCCGGAGCACCACCTCTGTCTGTCCCTTGGTCTCTCGGTGTCTCCCTCTCTGACTCTGGTCTGTCTGTCTCTGTGTCCCTCTGGGAGGCCGTGTCTTCTGTTCTTGTCTCTGTCCCTGCAGCGCCCTCTGCCTTGGTCACGTCCACCTGTTGTCACCCAGAAAGGCCACAGTGCACCCCTGCCCCACCCCCACGGTCCCTGCCCCAGGGCTCGCTCTGTCTCTTCCGGTCTCCATGTCTGTCCTGCGTCTCTGTCTCACCAGTGGGGACACAGTGAGGGCTGGCACATTAGCAAGGGAAGGCTTCCTGGCTTCCTCAAGGCTGAGAGACAGCCTGAGCCCCACAGAGTCTGGGATTTGTGTGGTGGGGAGCGCGGGGGGCACCACCCTCATGGTCCCGCTCGTTCCCTCAGGGGTTGAGGAAGCCACCCCCGAGCTCCCCCAGAAGGCGACTGCCCTGCAGCGGCCCTACCACTGCGAGGTCTGCCAGGAGGACTTCCTGTTCACACCCACAGAGGTGCTGCGGCACCGCAGGCAGCACGTGTGAGCCAGGCCACCAGCCCAGGGCCGCCACCCGCGCCAGAAACCCGGCCCCTGGGGGGACCAGGACGGGCTCCAGCCTGAACCCCAGCCCAGGGGCGGACTATGGCCCTTCCCCGCCCTGGGAGGGCACATGAATAAAGGTATAAAGACTACCTCCTGGGGCTGGCAGCCGGCGCGGTGGTCATGGCGCTGCACTCCCACACGGCCTACTATGGTTCAGTCCCGGACCTGGAGGCTTGCTTTCTCACTTTCCCTTTCTCTCTCTCTCTTTCTCGCTGGTCAAATCAAAAAATAATAAATAAATAAATAGATAAATCTTTTTAAAAAAAATAAAGACTGCCTCCAACCATGGGGCCTCTCCTGCCCCCCAGGTAACAGCTGCTGCCCTGCGTGGCTCTGCAGGGCCGGCCTGCAGAGGGGCTTGGGGAGGAGTAGGTGGGGACCACGCTATGGTCTCCTGTGCCCCCCATTCCAGGTGCAGAATCTTAGCAGTTCCAGGCCCTGAGTCTGTCCTTGATTTCTGTCTCCCTTTAAACTAGGGACACCCCAAATTGGCTCATCCACGTGGGTCACTCAGAGCTGGCTAGGGTCGGGGGCATCGATGTCCACGTGGGAGCGCAGCTGCACTGCAGGGCCGCTGCCTGGCCCTCCCGCGGCGATTCTCAGCCACTGCCCCTCCTGCTGGGGGGGGTCCACCCTCGTTCTCTCCGTCTGCCCCGTTCCCCACACCTGGCCTCTGGCCATGGCCTGCCTGCCTCAGCCCTCTGGACGGCACGTGGGCGCACACGCCGTCCTGGTCAGCTGCTGATCATCGCTCCCGCCCTGACCGTGCCCCTGACCTCTGTCCTGACCTCTGTCCTGCCCTCGGCACCGACGTGGCGGCCGGCTGGAGTGGGGTAGCCCCGTGCTAGCCTGGCAGCTGTTGCCCCGTGCCGCAGCCATCTCGCTATTCGTGCTTCATCTGTCCACCTCCCCAACCGGACGTGGGGCTTCGCAGCTTCGCTGTCTGCAGGTCGTGCACTCCCAGGTTGGAGGCGGCTTTGCTCACCGAGGACACCTCGCCGGCAAGTCCTCACCACTGTCCTGGTCTCAGCTCCCCGTCAAGGGGGATGCCGACCCCGCCCTCGGCCCCTCTGCGCCCGACCGGCCCGTGGGCACAGCAGACGGGGCGGCTGCCTCCTCCCCGGGCTCCTGCTCCCACCGCCGGCTCCCCCACTCTCCCCCACCGAAGCC